TCCATCCATACGTACAATCCCCTCGCGTGTCCTGTCAGGGTATTTCTATATAAAATTACAAAAACTGATGAACTATGACTTGTACAGAAACTAAATCAAACTTTTCTGTGCACTGTAATACAGGGGGCCAAAAGTCTGTGCTGGACAGATAAATTAATCAACCAAAATAGCCTATTGTGTACAAATTAAGCAATACATAAACAATACAGGAGAGACCCTTTAGGAACCAGCCTTTGTACAACCAAACTGATTCAAAGAGGTAAAACAGTGCAATTGAAGTCTATGGATTAGATAATCATAAAACCACAATTGACAATACTGAGAGAAACTTAACTTCAAGGTCAATAATTACAAGTGTTTAATCAAGAAATACAAAGGCTAAGGATATCACAACTACAAATGAAAAATTAATAAAAAACCCTTACAAACTCCAAGACAATTAATCCACCCGATTGTTCCAAGAATGAGATTACCTATGATTATTGTCTGAGGTTGAGTAAATTATCAAACACATCTGAGGCTTACTCAACTGAATGCAAACGATATGAGTGAAATAACCAATCAACTACCATTTCTGAACCAATCAATTGGAAGAAAGTAAATAGTGGTTGTGGGGTCGCCAATAAGAACAATGCTTTCAAACCATATAAAATACCAAGAGAGAGGAAGAAATAAGGGAGAAAAGAGGAAAAAGAGAGAAAAGGGGGAGCTCTGAAGAAAACTTCCTGGATGTAACGAAAGGACTGTCACTCATTGACCATCGCTAAGACTTAACCCTTGCTGCCTAAAACGAGCCATAATCTCATCCAATAAGACTCTGAACATTTTCTGTTGAAGGATTGGTGAGATATTGATTATATATGAAGAATTAACTTTCTTTACTCCAAAATCATAGCGGTTACATTTTATTATTAGTGGGGTTTTTTGTTTACAATTCTAATTAACAGTGTGCAGGGTGAATTCTCCTGATCATTTTTCATATCTTTCGTTATTTTATTCCTGAGATTGTATTGTGTATAGTTAAATTGGGTACAAAATTGTATGTAACTAGTTGCTATTGTAGGTATACTAGCCTGTTCGCTTGTTGTCCCTATTAGACTAGTAAACCTATTATCTTCAGAAATCGTTAGGATCACAAGGGAATTTTTACTTTTGAGATACGTCTCTTTCTTTCCTATGGCCACGGGAAGTAAGAAACAATCTTAAAGGTGTCTAGGTATTTTTATTTTTCTGATAATTTATTTCCATTTATTTCTTTGATTGGGTATTTAAATTGTAATCACCAGTAATTTAAGTTTTGTACAGAAATATATGATTATACTCGTATATTAATAAATTGTTTTGATTTATTAGTGTAATTGGGAGATATTTATATATTGTGGTAAGAAATCACCATAAGCTCAAAGAACTCAGGGAAATGGTTTGGGGTGTATTATCAAGTGTCTGAACTGAATTCATACTGTTTGTTAAGTTATTTATAATTTGCCGTAATCGGCTGGAGGCACTGTCTATTAAATCTAAATATAAAACAGACACCACCCTATTATTAATATTTCACCAAGATTTTATACCACTCAATCATAACAGTCCTTTAGAGGTGCCTGGACCGGAGTGATGTCACATTCCGGCTCTCGAGACCTCTACAGGGTGTGCAAGGGAACTGTTCAAGCAATGCACATATGGATGGAGCTCAATCATAGCACAGCAGCCCACACTGGACCCAGGCTGAGGATCAACTCCAGTTCTCGTAAGGTATTGAGACTGGGTGGATCTTTTAAATGGCATCCCAAACGCACCTCTCACCCACAGCTTGATCGCCTGCACCGGAACACGCAGTACCGCAATGCTGTGCATTCCCTTGGATCGCGACTTACTGACAAAGGACAAATGTGGGTTACACAGGTTGAGAACCACGGCTCTAACCCTTTCACTGCCGGCAACCTCCTTTTCTTCAAGCCAAACCTAAACACTTTAGTGCCTTGCGGCAATTTTTTTGTAAAGTATACACTATGCATATATTTTGTGATGAAATAACATTGGAGTTAATCACAATATATCACAAATCATATGGAGTTAATCACAACTTGCCAGTGTTATTTTAGGTTGCTTCATGAGGCATTATTTAAAAAAAAAAAAAATTGCTCACAGTTGGAATTAAAACTGATCTAATAACACATTGGCTGTCACACTAACGCTCTCAATTCATTACACTGAAGCCCCATTTTTTAAAATTTTGTCTTGGTTAAGCAGGTGATAGGATCAGACTAGGGGTAGGCAACCTCAGCATTCCAGCTGCTGTGGAACTACAAGTCCTATGAGGCATTGCAAGTCTCTATAAGCTACAGGCATGACTTCCAGAGGCAGAGGCGTGATGAAATTTGCGGTTTCGCCACAGCTGGAGTGCAGAGGTTGCCTATACCTGGAGGAGGGGGGGTTTCTGCATTTATATACATTAATTTAATGTAATAAAAATGTGCATGAGCAGAAGTTTTAATTTGCAATGTGTCTAAAATGAACCAGACAAAAATTCTCAACATATTACAATTCAACATTGGGCTACACTTGACTTCCAGCTGCCTGCGAGCAGACTGCGCATGCGCGCTCACCTTGTCACTGATTTCCCAGAAGGGCAGCGCTCCCAGAATGACCATCTCATCGATCTTGTCATACTACTCATGGCTAGAGACTTTCTCCATGACCACATTGTACAGCAAAGTTGGGTAAAACAGTACGTGCGTCGCCACCGCTTGCAAAGACCTGATTTCCAGTGAGTATATTACCTGTAAGCCTTGATCCTTGTAACCGCCATATTAGATACTGGCTCTTCCGCCCTCACACTGACCATGCGCAGCTGAAAGAGAGTAAGTAGGACAACCCCATGATTGATAAGGGCATAACTTGATTGTGATTCATTGGTATACCACTTTACGTCTGCGGCTTTTACAAGTCCAGTTTGAATAATGTGCCCTGGCGTGAGGCAGGCTGACACCCGGACACAGTATTCCAAACCCAGACTGTCCGGACAGGTGGCAACCCTAAGCAACATATGTGATGCATCGGAAGCAGTATGGCCCTGTATACAGTCTGTTTACCTGTGTAAAGGCAAATGTCGGCTTTACACTGGAAGTGATTAGAGCGGCTATAAAGCCACTTGATTGCTTCCAGGGGCCAGTAAAAGTGTGCCCCCCCACCTTGCTTTCTGGGCTCAACTGCCCCTCCTGTGGTCCCAGGACCAGTATTGTGGGTGTCAGCAGGCAAAGGGGGGAGAGACCACTGAATGTCTGTTGGCTGATCTCCATGCTGAATGAAGCTGGAATCAACGATGATTTCATCACCTCTGGTTTCTCTGCTGTCATTTCCCAGCTAAAAGATATGGGAAGCAGCTGATCAAGCACGATATGAACTTGATCAGCTTCTGTGGGCTGCAAAGGTGACATTTGAGGTCTGAAAGACCCGTAATATCTCCACTAAACTGCTATTACATGGGGG